TGCACAGAGCCCACCCCCTCTGCGCGCCCTTTCCGCCCGTCCTGAGGGGACGCCCCGGCGCGGAGCGGCGCCGCGGCCTGCGGAAAAGTTGTGTGCTCGGCGGGGGGAAGGCGGGGTGTCGGGGCGAGGAGGAGAGGGAGGAGCGGGAGGGGGGAAGAACCGCCACCCAAAACTGCTTGCATGAATTTGCGAGCGCTAGACCTGCCTCCGAGATCAGCCCAATAAGAGCTGTCAGGGGAGGCTCCCCGCTCACTTTTCCACATCGCTTCACAGTTACATTTGGCAGGCAGGCACGCCGGAGCGCTCAGACCCCGGAATTAGTGGATCTATTTGGAATATCCCCACTCTCCTGGAGACGTGCTGCTGCCGCTGGCGTGTGCAAGGGGAGAAATTAACAACTGCACTTTAGGGTGCAGGCACAGAAGCCGGAGAAGCTCCGTGAGCAGCATCTCCTCCAGCATCAGCAGCCTCGGAGAGCATGAAAAGAAAACCTGGAGAATCCTGCGTGTTCACAGGGACTGGCTAATGTGTTTTTACCTCGCCCTTCCAATCCGTGCGTGAAGTGGCTGTCAGCAAGCGGTTCCCTTGGTCCTTGAGAGAGTGAGTATTCGTTTTATGGATATTATTTATGTCTCGCTGGCAGAGGGCTGTCTCTCTGTAGATTTCTTTTTGACTTAGTGTCTGTGTTCTCGCAAGGTGCGCTGTGCGAGTGCCTTCCTCGTTTATAGGTATGGCATTAGGCTGAACTGTAGTGGCATATTAAGTCAGACGTTTGAAATTCCTGGTAATGGAAATTCCATGGGATGCTACTTGGGGCTTCTTATTTATTTATTCCCTTAAGAGGAGGAGTGGTGGCGGTGTGGCTATTTCTCCTGTTTTGTTTTTTGGGGTGTTGTGCTTGGGGTTTTTTTCCTTCCCCCCCCCCAAAAAAAACCAGAATCGGGGGGACTTTGGACCACAGAGGATTGCTTCCAAGGCTGTAGAACCCATTTCTTCTCCTTGTTTTCTTATTTAGTACAATAAGTCTTAGGGCTATTTCACTTGTGTTGAATAGATGCAGGGCTGCATTCATGCATTGAAATAGATTGCAGTTTTCGTGCTGAGAATAAAAATCACCCACCAGCCAGATATGTAAATGAAGGAGGAGGAGGCTGGAAGAACCGTGAGGGGAGAAAATGCCCCTCATTTATCACCACTTTCACTCTCCCTAAAGCTTTGCACCCTCTAGGTAAATAAATAAATAGGAATGGTGTGATAGCTTCGTTTCCTACTTTCATAGAGGAAAGCATTCCAGAAATGCTGCTTTTCGTCTTAAAAGCTAAATGAGAATGAATCTTTAGCCGTAACGAGCCAGGAGTCATCCATGTCCCACAAGTTGTTTCCCTTCCCTTTCTCTGGTTGACTAGACAGATAATACACCTAGCTGAAACTTCGGAGAGGGAAAAAGCCCCTTAGCTCCAGTCACTTGTTAGTTGCGTTGCTGCCAAGGCTCCCAGAGAAGAAATGCAGGAGTCTGTCGACCCCTGAAGCTGGCTGTTCCACTAAACGCTTCATCTTCTGTTTGAGGAAGGCAGAAGAGTAACACATCCTTACATTCTGCTTGGCTACAATATCTGCTGGGTAGCAGCATCCCAATCGGGAGCCCTGAGCTGTGAGACAGCATCCCTGCTAGACAGTATCAGACCTGTGCATGGTGCTTGGCTGTGGAGCCTGGGAGGCAGTGCAAAGCTTCAGCACAGAAAGCCTGTGGCGGTTTCTATGTGGATATTATAGAAGATATTAATTCAAATCCTGATTTAGACACTGCCTACCACCATGAAGGTGACACTACTTTACATAGGCAGAAATTCCTTTGAGGTTCGTTGCTGTTCAGTCATGTCTTGAATCTGTCTCAGTTCCAACAGTTTGCATTTAGTACCAGACTAAATAGAGTGGAATCAATCCAACCTGGCACATAACGGCGTTACACAAACCTGCTCATGTTGCCAACAGGTATCAAACTCTATACCCTCACTTCTCCCTCCTTCTTCTTCTCTTTCAGACAGGCACAAACACACACACTGTGTTTCATGCAAACGAGTCTATCTTTCCTCCTCTGAAAGTAAGAATAAATACTTGTACAACTTTCATACAGGCAGGCAGTTCTAAACAGCCAACTTGATCACATAAACGGCTCGCCACTTGTGTCTCTGCATATCACAGCCAGGTGTTTTTTTGAGGGTGCTAGTTGTAAGAAATCAAATAACATTGGCTGTTTATTGTTTCAAATCTATCACATTAATCCTAAATAGAATGGAAGCTAGCAGCTGCTCACTTCAGTTTGAATTAAAGAATGGAGCTGGTAACTACCAAAGCTAGAGATAAAGAATGGTCTTAACTTCACTCATCCTCTTTTGGAAATTTTTCAAGAGTTTCTGTGCAATAAGGATAAAGAGAAATATGCAGTACTTTTGTATGAATGATGTTCCTCCTCTACATTCAATATCAGACTGTTATGAACAAGGAGAGATTTTACAATAGGCTTCTAAGTAAATACTAGTAAATAATAAATACATTCAAAAGGCTGAAGAATTACCCTAGTGTACATGTTACCTGTCTTAAAATGATATAGCATCTAGAGGAATTACTTTGCATACCTGTGAAATTATCAAATTTCACACCCATAAAATGTGATAACATCAAAACCCAAAAGCTCTCTGTAGTGTCACCTCCCAGCCTAATTGTATCAATGCTTGAGACAGAAAAACCTAGGAAGGGAACTGATGCTTCTGTGATCTTCTGGTCTCAGTTTTTCATCCATTCAGGCTTATTGTTCTACCTTGCCACATACAGAATGAGCAGGGCTTTCTGTTAGCTTCCTTCTAGGTTTGCTATTTATTAACTCTTCCTACTTTTTGAAAAACTTGCATCTTTACAGTCAGTAAAGAGCTTTGATTTCTGTGCCTGGTTCTAAGTAGAGAACCTGAAACCTTGAGCATCCTCAGAGGCTGAAATATTTCATGTAAGTTATACAGGTGAGCAATTTGTTAACTGAGCAGGCTGCTACCCAAGAAACTAACTTTGGACATTTTCTTCAATATTAAAATATCAATAAGAAGTACATGTGCCTGCTTAACAAATGCAGCTGGTTTTAATAAGTATTACTTGTATGGGACATCTACTCCTTTTACACCTTTTATTTAAAAACAATGAAATAAGTTTTCGTCTCTGAGATGAGATATAATCCTCTTTAAACAAAGTCACTCAGTGCTTTTTCAATATACTTCACTCATTCCCCTCAGGTCCTGCTACAAAACTGTGTTGTAAAGGGGAAAGTGGTCCCACAATCAGATTTAAATTCAGTTTCTTTGTTATTTGTAATCTTCAGAATTCTTCTAATAATGTTGCACCTTTACCAGATAAATTAAGTGATCCCTGGACACTAATTTTCATCACCGTTAACATAGGCTACATAATCTCTAGAAAAAATACACCTGTATTTTCTTCTTCAGAATATGGAACTGTTACAAGTAAGAATTCACCATCAGCCGTGGATATAAATTTAGGTCTATTACCCCTTGAATTACTTCCAGAATTTTCTTTTTATTTCGTCTCTCCGTTTCAGATTTCATCTTTTAAAATCTCCATTTCGGAAGTCCTAAGTGCCCTACAGGATTTAGCTGGGACTTTTTCAGACACTTACTGAAAATGAAAGATCCTTGATACATACAGGTTATTTCATTTTCAAAACTTGAGAGACTTTCAAGGGGAAAAAATACTGACCTCAGAGTTTACGAACAAGAAGGAAACATAAACACATACTTTCAGCTCTTGATGCTGCGTATCTCTAAGAGATGATTATGCATACTCTGTAGAAGAAAGCAACTGCTCATGCTACATACAATAAACAGGTATTTTTATAGCATATCTAAAAACCATAAGGTACCGTATCCCTTAGCAGTATTCCTTTTTCATTCTGTTTTCCATTTCAATATTATTAGAGCCTAACCTTTCCGATAGACTATTAGTACTGACAATTGTATGCTTGAAGTATACGCTATAGTGGTATCATAACAGTCTTTCAACTATGAGCTAAAAATAATACAAACTAAATTCCTTCAGTGGGAGGGAAATGCAAAGGCATTTTGAGCACATTTTAAGCATCATTACTATCATAAGATTGCGTCAATAGAATTAAATTAGATGATGGAAACTCAACATTTTTCTTAGTATTGTTGCCATAGAAAAGATGGCTCACTTCATAGCTTTCTGAACTTTACTATTTAAGCAGTAGATAGACATACAACAAAATAAAGTCCAGTCTGAGATTTCAAATGTGTGTGTGTATGTATATGTATTTTCTTCACCCCCCCCCCCCACTTTTCCCCCCCCCCCCCCCCCATCAGAAAGACCTCTTTGTTCTGGAATCTGTTCATCACGTTTCTCATTTTGTCAACCAAGCAAATAACATCAATACAGTGATATTTCAACTGTATTAATAAAAGTTTGTTCCCCAAAAGCATTGGGTACTGGTGATACCTTGAAATGGTAGGTGCAAGCTGAAAAGAACCAACAGTTCGATTACCAACAGATAGAGTTTAAAGCGTCTGACTCCAGGCTGGCTTTTACCTGCCTGAGCCATAAAAGTAGCTTTTGTCCATGAGTTTCAATGATAATACTCATAGAATTGATTTTCCTAGGTGTTGAGCATGATGTGTCTTGTGAAAATCATTTGAAATTGAGAATGATCAGCACCTCAGCTTGGGTTTGAAATTAGTAATGTCAACCAGTCCCAGATCTGAATAATTGAAACCCTCCATGAGAAGTGTCTCCTGTACCCTACGATCCCTAAATCATAGACAAGCTCAGAAAGATGTTTTTCAGTGTCTCTGGGTCAGGTCTTTGAAACTGGATGTGGGAATTCAAAACATGTTGAAAGCAGTCAGTCTTGGCAGCCATTAGTTCACAGTTTCAACTTTATAATTTGGTGTTCATGTGGTCAAAGTAGCTTACTCCTGGGAAGCAATGCTCAGTCTAATTTGGGAAACTCAGATAACCATTTAAACCCATTTCCTTTGCAGTCACTGATCAGATCATCATAATCATATACATATGTATATTTTATATTTTTATGGGGTTTTAATATATTTATAAAAATCACTTCTTGCAGCCCCTGAATACTAATGCAAATGGGCTGTATGCATTCAGAGGTAATGCAGTTAATTAGTTGAGTTTTGCAATTGAGCAACACTTTAGATGTGAACCTCCCATGGATTAAATGTAACAGCTATGATTGCTTTTTAAGTAAAAGATCATCAGAACTTAATGTCACTGAAGTTTAGATTGAATTCTGTATTCTATTCTTTGACTTTATAGTTTGTGCATTTCAAAAAGCTACACTAAAACAAAAGAATTAATGAAAACACCCTTCAAAACAAGAACCTCAACCTGACAACTGTGAAAGAAAGAAGTTGTTGGAGGACCCTCATTCTTTCCAAACAACTCATTTAAGTTGATGGGAAAACTGCCATCAAATTCAGTGATGCAAAATTAAAGACCTTCACTTCTAATTTCATATATTTCTGCAAAAAATATGAGTAGGTTTACTGCATCAATACTGT